AGTACTAGATTATATAAGTTAGTTAGTCGATTGCCTGTCATTTTTTATTCATGTCGGTTGGACGGTAAAGTTGGTAGGTTGGGTTGGTTTATAAGATGGATTTGCACACCCTAGACTCTATGTTTGTACAGTACCCACACTCCGTGCCATATGACAGACTCTTAAGTACCTAGGTAGTTTCGTCTAAGAAAGTTCCACAGCGTGGGTGGCTCGAGCTGCTGATCTTTCCAGGTTGATCTGGATATGGACGGAACGGATGTTCTTCTCCAATTTCTAAAAAAGGTACCGAAGAAAGAGCTGGCTGACATGGTCTTTCCTACCTAGTCTGACGTAGACTCAATGTTCTTTCCTCCTGATCTTACCTTATTCCCATCTCAACCCGCACCCTTCCTTCCATTTACCCCTCCATGTTCCAATTGTGCCATTCCATCCTCGTCGTCGTGCCTTCCTTGTACCGAGTTAGTTAGTTAGCACCTACCTCCATTTCTACAATACTCCGTCCGTACTAGTTTTCCATAATAATAGCTCCATTACATTACTTTTCCGTCACAATCTTTTTCTATTCATCATCATCCTCATCACTATTACTATTACTGTCGCTGTCACCAAAACTTAAACTCCTCCCTACCCCTCACTTACACCCACGGCAACGTTATCCTCTCTTTGTATTAAGAGTCCACCATGAACCTTCTGTAACGACTCGCTCGTTACATCCAAACCGCTGTCTCGCCCGCCACAAAGAGCTCGAGCACGACCTGGACCTAGTGAAATCATAGGACTCGACTGACCTTCCAGTCCAGTCCAGTCCAGCGCAGCACACAAGACACCCTCTGTAGCTGTCAAGCTGCTCTGTCAGCACCCGGCGCATGCCGCCAAGCAACACCAAACCGTGTCACAACTGCCGTCGTCGACGCCTGCGCTGCGACCGCTCATGGCCGACATGCCACAAATGTGCGGTCTCAGGGCAGGAATGCCTCGGGTATGGCAAGGTCTTCGTTTGGACCCAAGGAATTGACTCCCACGGCAATGTCAATCCCCCTCCCGGCCGGCGACTACCCGACGAATCTGATGCTTCCACCTCTGTATCACCTACCGGCCACCAACAGGGCCAGGGTCAGCATGATCGCGCTCGACCTCAGCCTCAACCAGACTATAGCGACCAACATCCGCTGGCGCGTCTGGTTCAGCAAGCCCAGCAGGCCGCCCAAGAGGCAGAAGAGATGAATCAGCAGCAACAACAGCAAAGGCAACAGCAGCAGCCAACCCCGCCAGGTTCTGAGGACGCTCCTTCGCACGATCCAAGCATACCCTGGCCTTCTCCTGCTGCACTTACAGATCCGTTGTTCCAGGACCTTGACCGCACATCACGATACTACCTAGCGCATTGTAAGTCTTGGCTCTAGTTTTGGTTCTTTTTCTCCCCCTCTTGGCCGATGCTAATGAGTGCCCCAGTCAGCGAGAGGGTCTGCAAAGATCTTGTGGTCCGAGACACGCCTGAAAACCCGTTCCGTGAGCTGATACCCTTGACGCGGAAGCACCCGCTCCTCTTGCAGATTCTTGTTGCCACTTCGGCGATCCATTGGTCCAACATATTTCGTCGTGTTACCGAAATACCAGCAGGCCTCACCAATCCCGCGGGCTATCTTTCCCTGCTACGTTCAAAAGATCTTGTGACACGACAGGCTCTCATCGATGCCTTGACGGCGAAGCAAAAGGCCATGAGCCATATGAGGGAGGTGCTCGATACCCTTGACCCGGCAGGCAGTGAGGTGGCATTAGCTGCCATGCACTTTTTTATCAAGTTTGACTTGATTGATCTGGATAAGTCAGACAACCAGAGCTGGAGGGCCCACTTGGAAGGCGCCACAAGCATCATGGCATTGCTCAACCCGGATAGTAATCCCGACGCATCTAGTAGAATGTTGCGGGACCGTGTCATTACTGACAGCTTCATGTAAGTCCATCCTAGCCACTGGTGTACTTGCAGTGGATACTGACTTTTGAAAGCTACAACATTCTGGGCTCGACGTTGACATCTGGTGGCCTTGCAGCTCGTGTTGCACGGCAAGCTTTCCAGTTCTTACCCGTTATGAAGCGTGTGGAATTGACAAGCTACTTGTCTTGTCCTCCGGAGATTCTGAACATCATTCTTTCTGCATCCGAACTGTCCCACGAAGTGCCCTGGACAGACCAGTCTCTAGGTGCGGCAGACAAGGCAATTGCTCTAATAGACGAGGCTCTTGCTGTAGACATTCCAGCTTGGGCAGACTATTTACGACAACACAACCTTGTTCAAGATCTTGAGAGTCGAGTGTGTCTAGCTGCGGCACACCGGTCAGCAGCTTGCCTGTACATCCTCCAAGCGCTACCGCTAGTTCGGTCTGTACGGTCCATTGACACCGATTTCCTGCTGGAGGACGTTTTGAGAAATTTAGCCGCCATCGATGAGAATGACCCATACTTCAAAGCATCGTCGTGGCCGACTTTTGTTGCAGGGGCCGAGACACGAGACCCTGAAAAACGCACTTGGACCCTGGCACGGCTGTTGTCGATTTGGCAAATCTGTCCATGGGGGTATCTCTTCACGGCAATTGAAATGCTCAAAGCGACATGGGCGATGCAGGATTCGCGCGGCTCAGATAATGTCAACTGGCTACATGATCTACGGGGGATGGGATTTGAGAACTTGATTGTTTGATCTGACATGATATGATATGAAGTAGTTGCTGTGTTTTTTGTTACAGGGTGTGTACACTGGATCCAGTCCATACGTACTATACTGTCTGTCACTGCGGTGTGTTTTATTTAGCGTCGAGCGAAAAGTTGTGTCGAGTTGAGACTTGTGCTTCATTCTAGGGTTCATTTCAGTTCGGTTGCAAGCTCGGAGTTAAAGTTGTAGCTAATAGGTTAGAGGAACGCCGCGTGTCTTTTTTTTGGCCAGCTGTCCATGGTGCAGTGCTAGAGAGAGAATAGAGGGTGTTTTGGGCGCCGGGAAGGGTCATTTCGCAATTGCCGGTTCTAGACTGATCGAATCTCACGATGGCTTCACCGATTTCAACCAAGTACTTTTCTAGCTTAGCTACCTTACCTCAAGACACGGGATTTATCAGCAGACCCACCATTCATACGACCCTGAGTTGGATGCTGGTAGCTTTTGTAAGATGTCACTTGACATTTATCCTTTGTTGCTTGACTTGTTCTTGAGCTACTTGTTGTGTTTCGAGTTCCGATTACAGAGGCCCCGTTCTATCGTCTACGGCGTAAATCGACCCTGCAACTCTGATTTGTCCAACGCTCAGATGGATCTGACAAGTCCATCGTGGTTAAGGGACAGGGTCCTGGTCCTATAGAGTCAGTCCCCACTGAGTAGAAGAACTAGAAGCATGCAGCTTGTCCAAAGTAGGTTGAGCATGAAATCTCGGCCGAAACACCTGACTTCTTTTTGGCGCCTGCGAGAGTCGCCTATTCTAGCCTGGCCCAGGTCATTGTTGAGCGAAATAAACGGCGTCGGTTACGCCTACACAACACACGTGTAGGAAGATATGGGCTCTCGACTCTCGTGTTACAAAAGCAAAACGTAACGTGGGTGACACGGCATAGTTGTCATGTCAGATTCCTCTTTTCTCCTCACCCCTCAGATCTGAACCGAACCCAGAACTTAGATTGGATGAGGGGTGCACATTACATTGCATGCTCTGTTGGCTGTAGGTATCAGTTTGTAGGTAAGTATAAAGTTTCCACTTACACAAGGGAGAGGCGTTGGAACTTGCATGAGCAGCGAGCGATAACGGAATCACATAGTCAAAGTGGAACCAGAAGTTGTGCAACCACGTTTCTTCACCTTCACTTCGCATATAATGAATGAATAGGTCCAAAGGGAATGGATAAGAGCGAGGATAAGATCCCAAACAGAGCTATTCCCATTGGCGGGTCTTATACTCCGTATGTAGGTAGCCGGACTAGCAATGCATGTTTCCTAGATAGAAATCCGCTTTTAATAGCAATGTGTGATGATACAACATGACCAGCAGGTCCAGGAGGATTGCTTACTTTCATTGACGCTGATAGGGTATTCTATCCAAGTGATGTGACGGATTGCATTGCTTCTCACTCGAGAAGACAGTAGACAGCCGTTCCCTGGTATGAACCAGAGAATTGGTATGAGATAATAATATGAACTTGCTAGATCCAAACAGACTTGCAACTTCAATCGTTAAAAATAGATGACGCGTAATTGTAGCCTCGATAGCGGTTGTGAAATCAACCTCGCTGCCAATGACAGGGGCTGGACAAAGCAGGCTCAGATCTACCGATGCTGATACTACCGGAGTAGAGACTGCTATACGACAGTGATCTGCTAGCTATCAATGCCTTGTCGAGTCTATTCTACTCAATTCTCTTTAATGCCATCAAAATTGAACAAGAACTTGTTCGTAAAAGCCATGAGTATATCTATGAGCCTACCTTACCTATCACTGGCAGTGGTGATAAGACACTGACCTTCGGCCGTAGGGACCTGAACATCGGAGCATTCACTTAAGCATAAAGTAGTAGAGGGATGTGTAAAGGAACGGCCAGGCACACAGTGTTGGTCGATGGCGCACCAACAGGTCATGATTGATACCATGAACAGCCAGCTGACTGGCAAAAGCGGGAATAGAGAAACAGAGTAAAGGTTGTAAGATTAAGAATGATCCCACGCATACCTCGTGAAATATACGCCAGTCATGCGGCTTGTTCATGATGATCGTTAAAAAATACTCCGAAACCTCAGCGCCATTCTAATAAAGTCTAAGATGAAGAGAAGCACAGCCCGTGTGTGGGACGGGTGCTTAATGAGCGAAGGGAAGAGAAGTGAAGTGAGGGAATAGTGCCTGGCCTAGATACATGGAATCATTGCAACGCGAGTTGCGGTTCCAAGTTGGGGAACGGAAGAAAGAAAACATGATGTACCAGTAACGTTGAGAAGCTGTAATACACAGCCATTTTCTTTGTGTAGCCTACCAACGACGGCTATTCTGATATTAGCTTTGAAGGCATTCACATACACGGGGTATCACGATCACATACCTGTACGCTGAATCGAGCTTCGCTTGTCGCCGTTTTGGCTTGAGCCCTGACAAAGACGACTTCGGCCGTGGAGATCCTTCAGGAGTCTTTGCTTTAGTATCTCGTCCCAGCAATTCGGCTTCCAAGGAATCCAATCCTGAAGATGCAGCAGATACTGATGAGTCGCGCGACGTTGGGGTTCGATTGCGGCGGCGGCTGCGACTAGGACTGCGGCTGCGATTTCGACTCCGACTTCGACTCCGACTCGGACTACGGTGTCGACTGCGACTTGGAGTACGGCTCCGATGACGTCCACGACCACGGCTATGATCTCTATCCCGGTCTGGTTGGTACCGGTCTATCGATCGTCGCTGGTCGTCGACGTTACGAAATTCTGTAGGTCGACGTTCGGGACTACCTGGACGTGACCTGCGTCCTTGTGGAACGTACGAATCACGCGAGAGTGAATGCCGGCCCCGTGATCCTCTGCGGCCGGCGTCGAAAGAGCTTCGGGATCTTTGTCTCTTCAGTGGACGCTCACCAGGGGTACCGTCGTCTGGGTGGCCTCGTTTCGCAAGTCGTTCATGGACCTCGCCACGTTCGGAACTTTCGCTCCGAACGATCTCCTCAAGTTTTGGTGGTGGTCTTGGCGGGAGACTGGCAATGGGGTGTCCGCTAGGAAGCTTGCCGTCTCGCACGAACGCGGGGTCGTGTTCGATCTTTGACCAATACGGAGTTTCGTGTATTGGCTTCACGTATTCCTCGATATTGTCAGCTTGAACATAGTCCGACTCGATGCATTCTGCATCCCATTTTCTTGGAAGAAGCACCTCATCATTATATTCTGCCGGCAACGGCTTACCAACCTCATCTGGTGGATGACGTGGTTCTGGCTCTGCGAATATGGCATTCTTGTCCCATTCAAATTCATCGTCGACAGCCTTTTCGGGTGCTGTATCTGGTCTCTGTGATGAATCAGGTCTAGGAGTTTCAACTTGAACCTTTTTAGTTTCAGGAGAATCAGCAGGGGGGCTTGACTTTGGTTTAACAGCAGTGGTTGAGCCTTTCTGATCCCCCTGTTGAGGAGATGGCGCAGGTTTAGGATGATTGGGTGTCTTGGGATCAGGGCGTCTGTTGTTATTCTCTTGTGGCTTCTGATCCGGCCGAGAATGGGGCTGGTTCTTCTTCTGTCGATTATCGTGATTACGAGAGTGTCGGTCATTCTTGCGCTTGTTGCGATGATCTCGAGAATGGTCAGGAAATTCCCGCCGTCCCCTACCAGGTTGGCCATGCTGATTGGGCTGTGGTGGTTTAGGGGGTAGAGAGGGTTTAGGGGGCAAAGAAGCTGGCAAAGGTAATGTTGAGGCAGAACTCTGGCGTGGTACTGAGGACGAAGCTGGTCGATGTGGACGTGATGTAGAAGGCAGTGCTGGTGACGGGATAGGGGGCCGCGAAGGCGGAGGGTGCCCATATGACGGAGGCGCGCTGTGAGAGGGATAAGGGGGCGGGTATGATGGTGGCGGTGGGTGCTGAGCATATGGTGCTGAAGCTGGCGGTGGATAATGGGGATAGTGAGGCTGTGGAGGGTAGGGGACGTGGTCTTGGCGAGGCGGAGGACCATATGCGCGCGGTGGATATGGAGGTGGATGCGCTGGAGGTTGAGGCGGAGGCGGAGGCGGAGAAGCATATGTGCCAGGAGGCCTGGGAGGTGCTGCCGGAAGACCTGGGGGAGGACCACCATAAGAAGGTGGAGGATATGGGTTAGAGTAGCCTGGAGGTGCGTAGCCAGGTGGTGCGTAGTTAGATGCTGAGGATCCGTAAGGAGGGTATTGCGGAGGATAGGAGGGAGGTCCTCCGGGGTAGTGTGTTGGTGGAGGAGGCCCATATCCTGGAGGAGGACCATATCGAGCCACGCTTGGTGTTGATGCTGGCACAGGCGCAGGTGCATATTTGGTGATGATGGGACCTTTAGACTTTTTGGGACCACCATGGTCTCTATTACCTCCGTGTCCAGGAGCGTTGGCGTTTCTCCAGGCTGCGAGACCACTATTCTGAAGTTAATAGGTGAAAGTATAAACGATAGAGACAAGCTGAGAGAGCTTGATACTTACGCAGGGGTTTCCCTGGTGGGTTCTGGACATGCAACAGTCCAATGGCCAGAATCGCCACAGTTATAGCATCTGGCGTCGTCTGGCCGAGACTGGCCAGGAGCCGTATTAGACATGACTGGTGAAGGAAGGCGTAGTTTGTGAAAGATAGCTTCTATCAGCACAGGACACTATCCTGTCAACAAACAACGGCAAGAAAAACACAGAGAAAATACCGCCGTGGTGTATATAATACTTGTGATGCTAAAGAAGAGTGACAGTGACTTGATCAGCAGAAAGTGAACGAGTTCAGGCGCGGACACGACCCGAGAGAAGGAAACAAGTTTGATGAAGCGGCCTGAGGCTGGGTTGAGTAACACTGTGATACGTCTCACAGCAGGGGCCTCGGCGCGACTGAGAAGCGAAGCGAGGCGACAGAGTCTGTGTTGCTGAGACTGAAAATATGGCTTGAGAATGCTACTGTTACAGCCCAAGCTCGTTGGTGCAAGTGCCCGCGCGCGGTCGCGACATGCGAATGCGAAAGCCCCCTCCCTGGACCTTCTCAAGCAAAATATCAGAGGAGCTTCATTCAGAGATATTTGGTGTGAAGGGCCTGGAGAGAGAGGCTGGCGATGTCTGGCTGATTGATGGAGGAGTCGAAATTGACTTGACGTTGGAGCTGAAGCTCAAGTAACAGAATATTGATGGCGACGATAGTCATCCATTGGTGGATGGCGATGCTGAAAGTGTTGTCGCGTGCGCACGGGCCACTTTTGAGTCGACGAAGGTTGAAACTGAAATAGACTTTGGGGCATTCCCGCTACAAATGCGATCAGGGCTCCTTCTTGGCATGCATTATTAGAGAAGAGCCCTATTAAGGTATGCTGTCGTATTGTCTCGTTATGGTCAATTGCATTGTTGCACCAAGCTTCGCCGTGTCTGTTTTAATCGTTGACCATTATGACCAATCTACCCAAACTAGCAGCTACTGCATTCGCTTCGCTTGCCCAGGATCATAGTATAAGCTTATTGTTTCATGAAACTACAATCTCAGTAATTGTCTAGACTCGTTGTGTACATACAGCAACCAGTTCTCAGACATTTCTCATTTCATTGTCAAAAGAATGTCTACGGCAAGAACTGTAAGCTACATTACAAACAACAAACAGCACGTCAGAAACACTGATTCTCTACCACAGCACAATGTTTCTTACCAATATGGCCATGGATTTCTATGATCATTGATGATCCCTACAAACTGCTGTCCTCGAACCTTGTTGACTATACCCGTCATTCAGCTCAGCCTCACAAAGCATATCTCGTATATTACTAAGTAAGCATTGTGATATCTAATCAATCAGACTATTATTACTGGCTCTATACAAACCCATTGTCCCAATATCGAGTATCTCCATCTTAAAAGTAGTCAAAGTGTGGGGAGATGACCGGGCCTTCTTCCCGCCGAGGCACCGTCATCAGCAACGACTAGGTAAGCAAACCACCACCACCACCACCACCACTACCTACCTACTGATGCACAGCTAAAACATCCCACCGCCCAAAAAGCACATACCACCACCACTTCAACATCACCATCCTCCCACTGTATATGTAATCACAGAATACGGTTCTACGCGCAATCGCAATTTGTCTGGTTTCATTGCATAGCGAGCCCTCGACCTTTCACCGCCCACGCGCTCGTTAATCACCAACGTCTTCGCCCTGCGCCCATGTGAACTGAACCACCTTGATCCCGATCATGTTGGTACAACCACCGAGTTCACCTCCAGACACCATCCTTGACAGGAGCCGAACCCGACACCTTCACCCTTAATGATACCGACGATCACCTGCAATTCTCGATTCCCACGATAATACACATTCAGTGACCCACCCACTAGCCACATCACTACGACGGCATCTACAGCAACGACCATCACATCCCAATATGCCTGGGCTACCTTGTAAGCGCCGCGCCGAACCGAAAGGCTTCCCAGTCTGACCTGTCCTCCCCAGCATCCGTCGATCTCGACGAGTGCATCTCGCGCTTGTACAACAAGGAGTTGCTAGCCGAGTCTGTCATCGAAGCAGTCTGCGCCAAGACGAAAGAACTTCTTATGCGCGAGTCCAACGTCGTCCATGTCAAAGCGCCCATCACAGTGGTAGGAGATATCCACGGCCAGTTCTTCGACCTAATCGAGATTTTCCGCATCGGTGGCTACTGCCCCGACACAAACTATTTGTTCCTTGGTAATCGCCCGCAAAAATCAGATATCGACGACGTGAGCACTTGCTGACCTTGGTGGGGTACAATAGGAGACTACGTTGACCGTGGCATGTTCAGTGTCGAAACAATATCGCTACTCGTTTGCTTGAAACTGCGGTACCCTAATCGCGTACATCTTATTCGAGGGAATCATGAGTCGCGCGGTGTGACACAGTCCTATGGCTTCTATACAGAGTGCTCGCGCAAATATGGTAATGCCAATGTGTGGCACTACTTTACAGACATGTTCGACTTTTTAACTTTGAGCGTTGTGATCAACGACCAAATATTTTGCGTACACGGAGGTCGGCAGACTTTAAGCTTACAAAGGTGGCTAAACTAACGGGATAAATCAGGCCTTTCCCCTTCGATCCATTCAATCGACCAGATCAAAATTATAGACCGTTTCCGCGAGATCCCCCATGAAGGTCCCATGGCCGATCTCGTCTGGTCTGATCCTGACCCTGAGCGCGACGAGTTCTCCCTTTCACCCCGCGGCGCGGGGTACACTTTTGGAGCACAGGTTGTTAAGAAATTCCTGGCTGTCAACAACATGTCGCATATCCTCCGCGCCCACCAACTCTGTCAGGAGGGCTTTCAGGTCCTTTACGACGACCGCCTCAGCACTGTCTGGAGTGCGCCAAACTACTGCTACCGTTGTGGAAACATGGCCAGTGTTCTTGAAGTGAGTGACACGGGCGAGCGTTTCTTCAACGTTTTTGCGGCCGCGCCCGAGAACGATGTCCACAAGGACCTCCAGCCCGGAAACGAAAAGTCTGCCGACGGTAATGCCTTGCCAGACTACTTCTTATAGACGAATTTTATCACGAATACACACCTACAGCGCCCTGGAGCTTCAAGCCCGGGCTTCACGATATCCGCATCAATGATACCATGTCTTGGAAGCAAGCATTCACGTATTGCAACAGACAATAGACTTGCATTGCATAGCATAGACTTTGATGTATATAGGGATTTTTCTTCTCCTGCAGTATTGAAGCTCCAAACTGAGCTCAATTACTGTCTCGTCAGTGACGAGTAGACGATACGAAACAGAGCAACCACCTTTCTCCGGCCCAAATTGGGATTTTCTTTTGCTTTATGTGAGTCTTTTGTGTAAAATTCTTCTCCAATGTTCAGGTATCTCATTATCTCATGATGTGTGTGATATGTATTTTTGAGTTATGTCGTCGGGTCGCGCTATCAAGGTGTTGGTGTCTACCAGTCCTTGGCGATGTCGAAACTCCACTCGAACTCGAGATGCTTCTTCTTATCGTCGTCCACGAAGCTAGAGATGGCGTTGTAGTGACCACGAGCAAGCATGCCGCTAGGTGCCTCCTCCTCTTGGACTGGAGCGAATCAGTAGCTAAATCTTGACCAAACTTTAAACATGAAACTTACACTTCTTGACGTAGGTGGGCTGCTTATCAGTGTTGGGAGCATAGCTGCCAATCATCTCGGAGTCCTTGGAGACTCGGATACCCTTTCGCTTGACGACCTGGACGTAGTGAAGACCGCTGAGAATCTCGTGCTGGACCTTGAACTTGGCGCTCATGGTGAATTTGGCACCCTCCTTGATGTTGAAAGGCTTGTCCTTGAGGGTGGTCTCGCTTCCGGGGGTAGAGAGATCGATGGTGACGGGAGGGCGGCCAGGAGAGTCCATGGTCAGGGAGAGAATAATGCAGACTCGGGGGTCGTTGGGGTCGGAGATGTCAGTACCACCGCCGAGACCGAGGGACTCCTTGTATCGCTGGAGAGACTCATCACCGGCGTCTGGAGTGAATTCAATGTTAGCTTTTGAGTTCGAAGCGCAATTGCAGTGGCTGGTGCGGTAAGTGGGCAGGGCGGAGACAGTCAATTCTAGGTGTTGGCTCAAATACAAGAGGCAGAATTGTCCTATAGCAATAACTGCAGCTAGAGTATAGCTTCGACCATATCACACAGCAGAGAACAGGGCAGTATCTCAAGATCATGCCATGTCGGTACCATGCTGCGAGACGGTGCCACATGCTCAGGGGCTATGTGTTGTGCATATCGCAGAGCCTCACTAACGCGCCTACTGTACAGGTCGTCCAGGGAACAGAGTGTACCTACCCATCTGCTGGTACTCAGCCAGACTCTGCTTCGGCTGGGAGAGCTTGTAGCCCTGAGTCTCCTCGGGCATAGTATCATCGTCGTGAGAAGCCATGGTGGGCGAGCGGGGCGAAGCTGATGTGCAAGAGGCGGGGTGTTGAAGAAACGGAGGATGCTATAGCGACGGATCGATACCTAAGAAGATATTAGGTAAGGTAAGAGAGTTGGAGGTAAGAAAAAGGAAAGAAGAGGAGAAGAAGGGAGGAGGAAAAAGAAGGAAGCTTACTCGTTAATCCCAGCCAAGGTCGAGGTGAGCTTTGTCCCGGGCTTGCTTGGGCTTCGGCTTGGTCCTTTGGGTCTGGGCGGGCTTTGGAGGGGCTTATGGCGGTGACGATGGAGGGGCTTCCCGTTCCCGCAGGCGGTGTTGCAACAGGTCGCAAGAGCTGGGCTGAGTTTGGGCTAGGCTAGGGGAGGGCGGTCACTGGGTGCGGTTGCTATAGTGGGTCAGGACACTTTAATCGGATCTCTGATTGGCCCGCCATTGATCTCAGGTCAGAAATACGGAGAACAACGCCAATGGACGTTGCCGATTCTTATGGAGAATGCTTCGTTCAGGGGTTCAACGTGAGACTGGACTCGAAGATGAGGCTTATTTTGTGATGGTTTATGGCGGCTGTGGCTCTGAGTGTCTGGAGTTTTCAACAGTAATGTTTGAGGACGTGAGTAATGATACATTAAATAAAATGAGGTATTGTGTTGCTATATCCATTACTTCTAATGTAGCTTGAGAGATAGGGGGTGATAGAGGGACCTTGGTTCGTGGATCATATCAGATCAAAATCGATCGAGGGCATCGCGATTTGGGTGTGAATAGTCGAGGCTCGTATTCTGTTAGACCACCACCCTCCTTCCATTAGCAAGTATGTTACTTGTTGACGCGGCCTTTATACAGTCCCCTGAATTTGTTAGTACACGGGACTTTCGATTACAAGTTTTAGTGCTTCTCATTACTTGATTTCGTGGGCAAGGTTTTCAACACATTGTGGTGGGATGCTCATCGGACGGAGAGGTAAAGAATTCATCTTGACATTAGGTGACAAGGGTACCTTGCATCTGTGCTCCTGTCTCTGCTACACGGTAAGCTTTGAAATGTCTCATTCCGATTCACGAAGCTCTTCCTGACCAGATCATTGTACCTACATGATCTGAGCCACCTATAGGGTAAACTGGTCACGACTTGCTCAGAGGTTGAGATAAGACAGTGATTTAAAACCTTCAAGTTGCCCAGCTCTGAACGCGTGGACCAGTCGGCAATGGACCCATAATCCACAAACCTCCGCGCTGCTGTCATGCAAGTGAATGCATGTCGACAGATTTGAGACATGAGCGGCAATAGATAATAACGCAACCCAGTTATAGCCAGTCTCACAGGGCACTCCATGTAAGCCTCTCCTGCCACTACAGATGGACAAGCCAAACCTGGGGTTGATTCGCACGCAGTTACAGGAATTAACTGAGCTGAGTCATTGATTAGCTTGAATTGCTTTGCTTTTGGATGAGTCCCTTATTCCCAGCCAAACTCTATCGAACGCTCTGAGGTCTGTTTTAGCTGTCAGATCTAGTCGATCAGCCGAGAAAAACACTGGCACACAGAGCACAGCGTTACCGTGCTTGACGCGCGATAAGTGACATGGTGCGTCTCCATTCGTCAGAGTCGCAGATGTTAGCAGCCCATCTATCACCGAACCCAGTAGAGACGAGTGAGACTACTGTACCTACAGAGGTCACACCCATCCATCAGACAGTGTCTTCTTCAGTGACCTCACGAGGTTAGCTCATTCAGCCCCATGCATGTCGTGTCTCTTGCTTGTTTCGCTTCCATCTGAATCCCGTCTCATGGCGCAACCGCAATCGCAATCGCAATCGCAAATCTGAAAACCACAACCCGAACCCATGTGCATTTCCCCGCGTTCTGAAAATGAACAGTCGCCTGTTCGCGCGCGCCGGGCACAGCGAGGTCCAGGGGGACCCTAGGGACTTGTTGGGGGTGTGGTTCACCCTGAAGATCGACGACTTTGGTTGGCGCTGGACCTGTTGGGCTGGTTGCTAGGGGCGGCAGAAGAATTGCTGGCTGGCTCTAGAACAGAGTTTCCCCACGTGCACTCCTGGCTAGTAGTAGAAGTCGAAGACGACATCATGGGCGACTGATAAGCTAGACTGTAAATCATATAGCTTTCGACGCCGTTACTTGGCTCAACAAATAAAGAAATAATCAAATTAAACGAGCATCGGCGACTAGATCTGCCGGTAGCAAAAAAGAGGGACGTGAAGAAGGGATATTTCGTTGGTACGTACTGTTGCTTCGCTGGCAGGGGGAACTCATCGGGTAATAGCGCTAAGTCAGGTGCACGGTAAAATGGGGGTAATTTGATCAAATATTAACGGGCGACCTCCAACTTACACTTCTTCACCACCCAAATCTCAGTACCAATCTATCTCGCAGCTCTCCACTTTCTGGCATCGCGCTAATCTCCTTTTAGTCCAACAGGGCCGTCTGCTAAATCCTCGACGCTATCGAGCATCTAATTTGCGCGACTGGTTTCCCGTCTCGTCTCAGCTCTTCCCTCGTCTCGCTCGTCGACTTTGTCGCGATCCTTTTTCCACCCTCATCTACTTCATCTTGCTTTTCTTTCTCCCACCCCTTATCTCTACGGCATAGGCACCGTTAGATTTGTCTACCTCTTATCAATTTTACTGCCTGAAGCGCCATTGACGTTCTTCAAGGCCTCTTTCTTCTGCTGAATGAATTAAGCCCTGCATTGACACGGTACGTCCAAAGCCAAATCTACTACGGCCCGTTCCCGCCGAAGTCGAGCCCGCGCCTGGAAACGACCACCTTTCATCGCAATCGATCACTGACGCGACTTTTTATCCTTACACAGGCTCTACTACCTAATATATCATCATTTGCGCCCCGATATACGAGCGCAAACACTGCCGCCCGTCGCGATCCCGCTTCGATTTGTCGATCTAGAGGTACTCCAAATCGGTCGCGCCGCGCCTTAGCATCATACAAAATGGCCTCCCATCAAGAGCGCACACTGCCCTCCAAGCACAATCCTCTCATGACAGAGGACGTTCCGGATTGTAAACATTCCCAAGCTATTTCAGTGTCGCGAGATCGCAAGCTTACAATTATTTCTAGACACGGATCTGGTCGCGCGTAGACGTCTCGGACAGACTAAGCTGACCCCTAAGATGGCCGGTACTGGTGAGACTGAGCAGGCGGCTCTTGGCGTTTTTGATTATGCGCATCTCCGAGCCCCCCTTCCCAAGGGTATCGTCTCAGGCATCTTCAAGTCTAGCCCTAGCAGCTACTTCTTGATGCGCCGCAGCTTCGACGGTTACGTCTCCGCGACAGGCATGTTCAAGGCGAGCTTCCCTTACGCTGAGGCATCTCACGAGGAGGCGGAGCGCAGGTACATCAAGTCTCTGCCGACTACGAGCCCCGAAGAGACTGCTGGCAATATCTGGATCCCCCCGGAGCAGGCTCTCGTCCTCGCCGAGGAGTACAAGATTGCTCCTTGGATTCGGGCTCTCCTCGATCCCGCCAAGATTACCGTGACCACAACTCCAGACTCATCTTCGCCCAAGAAGAGCATTACCGCCCCTCCCAAGTTTGATCTTGCCAAGGCGTCGCATCCTGTGCTGGCACCTCCCACCCCCTCGACTATTCCTCGAAGCACTCGATCTCGTCGTTCTGCTAGTCCCACGAAGAGTACCAGGCGTGCGCCTGCCTCGCCTCGAAAGCGAAGCACCCGCGCCAAGGCCGAGACTGTCGAGACTATCACTGAGAAGACCGATCTCGTAAATGGCGTGGCTGAGACCGAGGCTAAGGTCGAGGAGACCAAGCGCGAGGAAATTGTTCTCCAATCAACAGAGTTTGAGCCAGCTATCGTTCTGGAACCCAGGGAAGAGGACCCGAAGGTCAAGGTCCACGTTGAGGAGGACATCGTCAAAGATGAGGACGGTGTCGAAACTAAGCGCACAATCACAGAAGTTGAGCTTCCTCTGCCCACAGCTGGCGAGCCTCCAACTGCCGAGGAGATTGCCCAAATGATGGAAGCAGCCAAGGAGATGGTCCAGAAGACTAAGGAGACCGAAGCCAAGGCTGATGAGGAACAAGACGAGGTCGATGAGGCCCCAGGTTCAGCCAAGAAGAGCAAGCGAAAGGCTGCAGATATTTCCGTTGGTGACAAAGACGGTGAAGAGACAGAAAAGACACCAGAGGAGCAGCCCAGGTCGAAGAAGGTCAAGACCGAGACAGAACTGAGGAAAGAGAAGGTGAAGAACCGGGCGTTACTTGGTCTGGGTGCCACGGTTGCAGTTGGGTGAGTAGATATGTGTTTTCTGACTGAAGAATCCATGCTAACGTTTGACAGCGCGATTGTTCCTTGGCTTATGAACTTTATCTAAGCAATGAATTGTATGTCATGTCTTCGGAAATTAAACCCGGTCTTTTAGTAGGGACCTGAATAAACAAACCCACCACGACCATGGCTGAGATATGGGACGGGCGGACTGGATTGGATCGGCGCGGCAATTGTATTTCTTGGTTGTTTTCTTCATTTTCTGTCGTTGTGTCTCGTTTTAACGGAATCACTACCCAATACTCACTCTCACCCTGTTGCTGTAATGAGATGTCGAGAGTGGCATCTTGTTGAGACGATGCCCTTTCGATGTCTCTATTACTTCTATACTTACCTTACCTTACCTTACCACATCACTATACCATACCTTACCTTGCCAACTTTGACCTTTTCTCTTTTTTTTTATCAACTTTTATTACCAAAAACTTACTTCACTCCCCCTTGCACATACCCCTTTGACTTGGGAGATACCAATACTAGATGAGTTGGTAGAGACTGAGTCTTTTGCTTGATAGGTTCTGTTTGCTTGACTGGAGATTTCGGAACGACAGAGATGGAGATGGACATGATGAGGGACGTCCATATGAGAGGGGATGGTAGAGTTGACTGTGTCGACTCTTTAGGATCATGTATGAAGGCGTTGAAGTAAAATAAAATGAAAATTAATATGATAAATCGTGTCTCGGTGAAGCAAGCTACGATGAATTTGTAGTGAGTTTGCCCCAGGTTTTAGTGTCTTTACTCCCTGAACATCCCCCGCAGCTCAGGTGGCTGCACAGGCTTCCCCGCATCGTCCCTCCGCCCTTTTAACCGTCTCCAACTCGGTCATCGTGGCGTGTCATAGGGAGAGACTCTCCCTGTAGATAAACTCGGTAGGTCTGGCTAAGTACGGCAATGGCCGGCTGTGATTCGGGTAACCATTCCCCCACACGCCAGCCTTGAGTGAGATCCAAGACTTTTTGTTTATTATCAATGGGTTATTTCTTGTATCCTATCTTGTTCAGCTTCTTATTTAATCTTATATACCTTGTTCCGATTCAGACATTGGTAGTGATCTTGTAAGGGAAACTTGAACTATCCACCGTCTTATACTCAGCTATCATGAGACCTTCAACGCGGCTTGGAAGCTTGGTGCTTCGTCGAGGCTTTGCCAGTTCGGCACGACGACTAGAAAATTACGGCTTCATCGGTCTAGGACAAATGGTACACATGCCCTTTCAGAGAATGGTTGTCAAATACTTACACAGAGTATAGGGTTATCAAATGGCAAAGAACCTCCAGTCAAAGTTGAAGCCATCAGACAAGGTGTCCATCTTTGATATCAACCCTGAATCTATGAAGGGTCTGGAAACAGAGATGAAGGCTGCTTCTACAGGAGCTCAAGTTGAGTTGGCAGCCAGCGCATTCGATGCCTCCAAAGATGCTGTAGGTCATGCCACTCACTGTGTTTGTAGATGTCTCACTGACACGTCTAGGACACAATTATCACTGTACTCCCAGAACCTCAGCACGTGAAGGGCGTATATGAATCCATCATCACTTCGTCTCTCCCCAAAAAGGACCGCGTTTTTATCGACTGTTCAACCATTGACCCTTCAACATCTCGCCAGGTCGCCAAGACTGTGTCTTCTGCTGGGCAAGGCACCTTCGTTGATGCACCCATGTCTGGAGGTGTTGTAGGCGCAACTGCTGGAACGCTCACCTTTATGCTCGGTGCTTCACCCAACCTCATTCCTCGTCTCGAGCCTGTCCTTCTCCTCATGGGAAAGAAAGTCCTCCACTGTGGTGACCAAGGCGCAGGCCTGTCCGCCAAGTTGGCCAACAACTACCTCCTGGCTCTTAACAACATCGCTACGGCAGAAGCCATGAACTTGGGTATGCAATGGGGTCTGGATCCTAAGAAACTGGCTGGCGTCATCAATGTGAGCACAGGACGATGCTGGCCCAGTGAGGTCAACAACCCTGTTGCCGGTGTTGTAGAGACAGCACCAGCCAACAGAGATTACAGGGGAGGATTCGGTATATCTCTGATGAAGAAGGATCTGCGACTGGCTATGGTGGCTGCTGAGGAGGCTGGCGCAAGAATGGAGTTGGCAAAGACGGCGTTTGCAGTTTATGAAGCTGCTGAAAAGGAGGACAAGTGCAAGGGACGGGACTTTTCTGTTGTGTATCGATATTTGGGCGGTAAGGAGGAGCAGTCATGAAACAGTGAGCAAGGAAGAAAGGGGTGACGACGCATGGCTCGTATAAGTTGAGTCGAGTTGGTGTCGTCAATTCGTCCGTGCTCGCTCCTGAAGAAAAGAATAGACCAAGAAAGAATAATACTGCAAATCTATGACATGTGATAGTCACTAAAAGGGCAGTGTTGGTGTTGCAGTAGAGGTAAAGCTTGTAAGGTATCATCGGATCTATGTAGATCTCACTATGAGACAATCGGATCGGTAGCATAAAACGCTCCGAAGTCCTACAACCCGACACTACAGATCGTATCTGCAGTTGCAATTTGTATGCAGCAAAAAAAAAAGGGTCGGCCGCCAAGTGTAGTACACCTCCATAAACACAACACGGACACGTTCCAGAAGCGGAAATGCCCTGTAAGCGAGCAGCAGAACCCGAGGCCCAACGCGAGAAAAGCGAGGAAAACGAGGCAAACAAGCATTTCCAACGTTGAAATAAGCGGATCTGCACCCGGGAATAGACATAACCGGGCCTTGGCATTCGCATCACCAACAGTTAAGAGGTTAGTCTACCTACCTAGTCACTCGAATTTAACCTACGAATTAACCACCTTTCTCTCTCTAGTGCTCTGTATTTTCAGTGCTTAACGTCCCGAAGTCCGGGTGTTGTGTTGGCCCCGTAAAACCCGGAGGAATTGGGTCGTAATGAGAAAAATGAATGGATCGAGTCAGCAGCGATGGATCTTCTTATGTGTATTGGATGCGCCTACCGTAATCATATTCGGCCTATCTTTACACCTTGTTCACTCTCTTCATCCTCTCTTTCTTTATCCTTCCTCCTCCTCTTCCTCTTCTTCTCTTTTCGTCTTTCTCTTCTAATTTCTCCATGAAACCAGGATCCTTTCATACAAGCGGGTCGCTTGAAACGAATCCATAAGTCATCATCATTATCATCATCATCATACACAGACCAAGAGGCAACTACTAGTGACACTCACTGTCCTCTCACCATCTAACGTTGCTCGGCATTTCTTCACCTTTTACATATCGAGTGCTTCACTGAGGTAGCTTCGAAATGTACGAATTATACACTCGTCGACCGGCGAGTTTCGATGACTGCACCGATATCACTACCCTCTGTCCCGTCAGCGCAACTGTCCTCGGTTATGTTCCCAACAAAGGATCCAGTTACTTCTTTACAATCTGTTTTGCGATTCTTTTCCTATCCTCTGTAGGATTGGGTGTTTGGAAGAAGACATGGACATATGCTGCGACTCTGGGAGCAGGTTTATTGCTGGAGACTATTGGTATGACGGGAACTCATTTAAAAGGAAGAGAAAGAAGGATAAAATGCTAACAAGCTCAGGGTATATCGGCCGTATTCAGATGGACCCTAACCCTTGGAACTCATCAGCCTTCCAGACCCAAATCTGCTGCATCATCATCGCCCCGACCTTCATCTGCGCCGCCATCTACCTCACCCTCAAGCACGTCGCCCTCGCCCTCAACCCAGATCTCTCACGAGTTCATCCTCGTTGGTATCCGCGCATCTTCCTCCCAGCCGATCTCTCATGCCTCATCATCCAAGCTATCGGCGGTGGTGTCGCAGCAGCAGCAAAGCGCAACCAGCCCGACCTCGCTAGGAACGGTAACAGGACCATCATCGCCGGTGTCGTCCTCCAGGTCATCGTGCTCCTCGCCTTTGGAGCCATGGGCACTGATTACTACCTACGCGTGAAGAAGTACCTCCACAGCTCAGAGGCTGCCCCTGAGTCGCTGCGAGTCTGGCAGGATAAGAAGTTCCGCATGTTTGGCTTTGCGGTTTCGGGCGCCTATTTTGCCATTCTCACTCGTTGCATTTACCGGTTAGTGCAGAATCCTCATTCATCCTATCTTCTTACATCAGCTGACGCGAGAAAATGTAGAATTGCCGAAATGGCCGGTGGTTGGGGCAATCACATTATGCAGGACGAGCCTAGCTTCCTCGTCCTCGACAGCTCCCTTGTTCTCATCACTGGCTTCCTACTGACGGCCTTTCATCCTGGAATTTTCTTCCCACAGATGGCTGTCACTATGCAGCGCACTAAGAAAACCGAGGCTGAGACACCTGCTGAATCTTCCAGCGAGGAACGAAAAGTCGAAAACTCCCAGACTGCTTAGAGGGATATGGAATAGATTAGGATAGGACATAGGAACATGTATCTGTTGTTTGGTCTTGTTTGACTAGGGCGCGAGGTATTGGAACGATATTAGATCAGATCTTGTAGACTCGGACGAGTCCAAGTTGAGCGTGTCTTGATAATGCTTTCTATCGATATTAGGATTTGACCAGTCTATCGGCTTCCCCATCGTCATCGCTATCAGTCTCTTCTTCCTCCTCATCCTCCTCCTCCTCATCGTCTTCCTCCTCCTCCGATGATTCTTCTTCCGTCTCTTCTTCCGTCTCCTCGCTTTCTTGCTCTTCTTCTGCAAGCCAGTCATCCAGAGTCTTCGCACCGACTGCTTCGCCCGTGCCTGTCCCCGTGCCGTTTGACCTGCTAGGCATGACTGTCTTGGCCGCCTCGTCGAGTCTTTCACTGGCAGGCAGTGCACTTCTTTCTACGTCGTACCTAGAGCTTTGACTGCCTTCAGGTTCTCGAAGTCGGCGATCAGGCTGTTTCCCTTCCTCGACCCAGTCAGGTAAGGGTTCATAGCCCCGAAGACCATGAATACCACCGCCACCTGCAAGCACTAATGTGGAAGAACCCAAGAGGAATCCCTTTCGAGATTCTGATGGACTCGGGGCATGTGGTGCTGGCTTCTCAGCAAGGAGCATCAGCGTCGCCAGCTGGGGAACTGCAAGGAGCGATCGATACATTCTCGCGCGGTCACGGAGATCGAACGATGTATCATATCTCACAAGTAGCAGGACGTACTCCCATAGCCTCACAATAGGATGAGTATCTGTATCCATAGGCGGGTCCTCCTCAGCGTCCCTCTCCTTCTCAGCTTCAGTCCTTCGGTTGAGGTGGTGGAGGTAAACCTTGGCCCCCAATAGCAGAATCTGTTGCTTAGCCACTGGCGATTCATTAGAAAACTCCTTGAGCAAGATGCGAAGAACATCTGGCGCAATGTTGTCCTCTCCATTCAGACCTGAGAATTCACCCACAAGCCAGATGATTGTAGCACGAGCCTGTGGGTCAGTTGCAGAGTCGAGATTCTTTGCTAGGCGAACAACTGTCCCAACATGTCCCTGGACGTCCTGTTGTATCAGGTGACGAATGACTGTCAGTGACTCGGCAGCGAGGGTGCCGTCCAAGCTAGTGATTTGACCGAGGAGTAACTTCAAGCATCGAGGAGCCGCAGAGGTATCAGTCTGGGCGCAGCGGCCGATAGCGCGCACCGCCTCTCGAACTAATGCCTTGTTTGTTCCTTGCGAGAAGTGTTCAAGTTCCTTCAGAATAAGACTTTTAACATGTGGTGGACTGAGAGGGAAGATGATCGTCAGGATCTCCAACTTCAGTTCCCACACAGGAGCAGTATCGGTGGCTCGAACCAAGAAATGGCTGGCATATTTGACGAAATCGGTGGGCCGAAGAAGACAGACAGAGACGATGTTGAAAAGAGCAGTCTCCTGGATATCCTGAGCTCCACGAAGCAAGGCGATCAAGGGGCCAATAGCCTGCTTCACGTACTCGGGTGTTCCGATATCGACATAGCACCGAGTAACAGCGACAACAACACCGGCATTCCTACTCTGCAGTAGAGGTCTGATGCCATTTAGGAGCAATGTCAGATCCGGGTCAAGTACTGAAGACCCATGACTTCGACTAACTTGTCGTGATTCCCCGTAGAAGTCGTCCACTCGCTGATCCTGGGAGTTTTCGGTCGATTCGTCTGGCGACTCTGTCCTCCGAGGGAAGCACTTTCGCGCATAGTACATCATCAGTCGTAGTGTTGCCAATTGACTCCATTCGTCCATATCCACCACTTGCTTGATCAGCGTCCGATAGTGCTTGTGAATAAGGTCTATTCGGTCGGGACAAATCTCGAGGAAAGCTGACACGGCAGCTCCAGCGACATAGTATTGCTTGTCACCCAGCAGAGTCGATAAGTAATCGATCAACTGGGGCGCTTGACTCGGGTCTAATCGATGACATTTAGGAATTGCGAGGGCAGCTGCTTTCCGCACGTAGGGGCTCATGTCGGCCACACCCTTCTTGATAGCGAGAGATACAATCTGGCTGATGACGGGGACTCGAATTCCGGACATGGTCTTGAGGGCGAGAGCTCGGACTTGGGGGTTCTGATCGGATAAGGATTTCTGAATAGTGTTGATGGAGAGGAGTGCGAGATCAGGCTCCTGTTCGGCATGGTGGATGAGGTATATGTAGACAAGCTTCTTGATTTCGATGTTCGGCGAGGCGACATTCTTGACGACAGAAGAGAAGAATGGTAGAGTCTTGTGATTTCGATACATCATCTGCCTCATCGCAATTAGCGCCAAGATACGCAGACAAGAGAACAACATCACGCACCGCCATAACACGCCGTAGACCCTCGAGGACCTCGCGCTCGTTCCTGCTATCCAACAACTTCCTCATCTGGTTTCGGTCCAAAGGTCTTGAGCTCGTGCGCGCACCACGCGTCGCCTGGGCAGCATCGAGGGTGAGCTCCCTCGCTGGATGATCAGTCAGTTTTAGCGACAGATGAAGCGGTCAATAAGGAGACGTACCGGTCTCCATGAGACTCGAGATCCTCGCTATTGACTCCATTGCGCGAGTGAGCTTTTTTCGAGCTTACGCCGCGTTTGAGAGGAGGGGGAGCTTTTGAGGGCGGGTTTTAGTGTAGGTGTTTGAGATGACGTTGAATGATGGTTGCTGCGGACTGTGGAGGTGGAGGGGCGTGACAACTGGTGGGGAGCTCAACTACCTGCCATTAGATACTACAGCTGCATTTTATGTTAACAGATTGACCCTAGTATCAAGAACAATACCCAAGTTTCTTAAGGTGCCATTATAAGAGTCATTCTACAAAATATGTCATCAGAGTCTAAACGCGCGATCTAAGCTCGTTACTCAACTCTCTTTGCTTAACCTTCTTGACATGAGCTACCCTGGATGAACTCAATGGTAATACCACAACCATGGAATCCTCTCAACCCATCGTCATCTCACCACAAAGTCCTTCCGAGCTTCTATCATATATCATATCCTACCATAGATATCCTTCGACAATAATAATCGGCTCGTCAAAGGAAGAGTTTCAGAGCTCACTCATTGAGGAGATCACTCACCATCTCACTCTCCAAGCGGAACAACTACAACTCGATGATTCTGGAGACTCAAAAACGCAACCTTCTCATCATCTCCTAAAAGCACCGCTCTATCAAATAGCCATATCTCGTCATATTAGGTTTCTATTTGCGCCAACCGTCACACATCTACGTGCCTTTCTCTCGGTCTTTACACCAAAGGATTCGCCTATACCGGCACCACCAAATTATACACCCGCTTCTCGACCACCACTACTTCTAGTTTACGGACTCCTAGCTCTTCACAGGGACGCAAGCGAATGGTCTGCACAAGGCATCGGCAACTCAGCTGCTCTTTTAGTCGATGCCGCCTCACGAAACGAGTTTAGAGCTGCCATCATCGAGCCAAAAGGGATAGGAGGACACCACACCCTGGATCACCTTGGAGGAGAGATGATACCTCTGCTGAATGGCACATCAAGAAGAGACGATGGATCATGGAGTGGGCGGACTGTCAGTGCTAAGCAAGTCCTGAGTCGATGGTTCGAATTCGATAATCGTGAACAAGAAGGTTGAATTGTTTGGGCGCTCCCATGAGAAACTTAGCCATGTTTCTATCTTGTCAAGTGCACGATATGCTCGACCATGTCTTCAGTACTCAATGAATATCAAAGCGTTATTTTTACGTTGAAAGCAGTCATACTAGGCGTCAACATCAACATATCATCATTACAGCCTTCAACGCCAACCCATGGTATCTAAGGTATCCCGAATATTGCCGCCAACCATAACATAAAGCATGACAAAAGCACAGAAGCCACCGCATGACAGACTTAGGCAATAGCCTGCTCCATCTCAGCAATGTATAGCTTAATATGTGCCTCCATCTTGCGGTACTCTTCATGCGCACTATGAACCTCATTCTCAATGTTCTCCTTCAAGTCAAGCATCTATGCACATGTTAGTAATTTGTCACTCATATAGAACGTTGCGGGACAGCTTACCTTTTTCTCAGTCTGCTCGATTCTGACACGTCGGACCTCCATCTCCTTACCCTTCTCAGTCTGTTCCTCTGTGAGCTGCTTGTGCACTGCCCGGAGTTCATGCATCTTCTCCTTCGCCTCCCTCGCCTTCTGGTTGCTCTGCTCGCGGAGTTTCTCTGTCCTCTCTGTCCATTTGCTCAACTGACGTTTCAGCATAGTCTCGGTGCGCTCGACTTCACGCGCGTTGTTACCGCGCTCTGAGAGAGCATCACGCTGCTTTGCATTGCGTGCTAGCTCTTCCTCTTCCTTGGCCAGCTCCGCAGCGATCTCATCGAGGATCTTTATGCATGACGCAACATCTGTCGAGACGACTGAGAATGAATCCGTTGAGGTCTGCAGGGCTCGCGCTCTTCGGTCCAATGCGTCGATGTGTGATTTATCGTTGTTGAGAATTTCACGTAGCTCGGCCAAGTTCTCCTGAAGATCTGAGGCGCTCTGGAGCACATAAGGTCGCAGCTTTGTGCTTTCCTGTTTCAAGGTAACCTTTTCGTGGGTCTTTTGTTCCAACACTGCAGTGAGCTCGCCCTTCTTCTGTTTGGCCTCTTCCAGCCGTGCGGCAACCCTTTCCTGGTTCCGTCGAAGCTCTAGCAATCTCTTCTTGAGCTCCTCATTCCTCATCGTCTTTTCTCGGACCTGCGCCTCCATTGCTTTGCGGTTGTGTTTCATATCTTCCAGACGACCCTCGTTCTCCTGGTTCTCGGCATAGAGCGTCTCAATGCGTGTTTTTGTCGACTCTGCCTTGTTATAGTACTGGTCGATAACAGCCGTTTGTGACTCACGGAATCGAACAAAATTGATTAGGTAACTGAAGATCTTGACGAGGCGATCATATGTCGGCTTATACAAGTCGTTGAAGCTGAAATCGGTGATGCCGCACTCAAACAACAGCCTGCGCAGCGACACATAAAAGCCCATCAGGTTACGAGTGTCCGGAGGGATGACATCCGAGTATTCTCCCACAATATCCTCGGCAGCGGCTCTCATGGCCGGCTCAACAGTCTCACGCGTCGCATTGAGGAGGAGCTCGGCGAACCACTCAAAAATTTGCTGAACATGTGCTGCATTTGGCTTCTGAAGATCTGCGACAGTGAAGTTGATGCCGATGTCGGTGATGCAGCCAACGATTTCGCGGTCGGGGAGACGCATGAAAGCATCTGCTTCTTCCTCCTTTTTTCGAGTCCGCGATTGCTGCTGCGAGGTTGGAATAATGCTCATTCGCGGATTGTACGCCATGGTTGCGGTTGTGCTTTATCTCGTCAAAATTGTATTCTCTCTTTTGGCTGCGCTTTGGCTTAATTAGCTTGTCGCGATTACTGAAAAGCATAAACACCGTATACGTGTTGCCGTGGAAACATGGAGAAATCGCATCACGTGATGATACATCGCAGCCCAACTCAGTTGTGCCAGTACCTACTACTGGTAATTGTTTCAGTAAATGAAGATTTGTGCAGATCTTAAACAGTGGCTTCAGACAAATGCGATACATGTTTGGTAAATGATGTCTTTACTATTGGTTACGTTTAATTTCGTCCCTAATTAGCAAAGTTTTATCTAAATTCTGTGACTGATTTCGATCGATATCTGACGACCATGACTGATAACTCAGGAGGCACTTGAGGGATGCCATGTTGAGTTTCTGATACTATGAATGATGACTCTGAGCTTTCTGCCCTCATCTGATCTCGAAATAACACTTCCGAAACCCAAAGAATGCTGCAGGAAGAAGCACTGACATGTTCCACATAACTGCTATGAGTGACGTTCGCTCGTATCACTAAATATAGTCCAGATGGCCACCAGCATATCATTGGCGAGAATCGACTGGTGATCCTTGACTATTCTGCACTTGTTCGTCTCACTTGCAGCCGTCAACTCGTCTCTGTGCATTTGCGACCTGTGAATTAATCACTCAACTCGCGTGGCTTGGTAATGCAGCAGATGCAAGCACAGTGAAGCAGATTGCCGTGACATCTAGTCTCTGCGGCACGCAGTGAACAGTCGCTCAGTATGGTTAATACTATCTCATACAGCGACTCACTGAAATAAAACCAACTCGGGTTGTCAGCCGTTGGTCAAAACTCTTCCGAGGGAACGTGTTTGTAGACCAGTTCCTCAAAAGTCTTCGTCCCACATTGCCAGCTACTTCTGCGTACAATATCTCATCCACGTGGCGGTACGCCAGCACGCCCCAGAACGTTTTATTACTTTTTGATCAGTCAAGGTGGCGCCCCTGAAACGAAACCACCATCCTCTTACTCTGGCCTGTCTGCTTGTCCAGGGGGGTTAAGAAAGCCCGAAGTCTGAGTAAAAAAGCAAAAGCTTTGGGACGTTGAAACATGAGATCGGTTGGCTCAAAGCCTAGTCCCCAGAACCAATACTCCCCAATGAAACAAGGGCTCAGGGGCATCGAAACGCTGGGACAAATCTGCCCCGATCGACTCTGACAAAGGAGCAAACCTAATCTTCGCTTCTACCGAAGAGATCAAACCCGTTTACTCCGTACTGGTTCAAGAACTGATTGACTCGCTGGCGTTGACCGAAAATAGTACTTGGCTCGGAAATTGGCTAGAAATCTATTGGGATAGGCAACGGGAAGCGACATATATCTTGTTGTACGACACAAATATCCCCCAGCTATTGGCCACGACCAAGAAGAAGCCTTCAGAAATCCTCTTCATGCATGACTTGACATGCATGGTGCCTTGCGGAAACCTTGGACAAGGAAACCCCGAGTAACTTGCTAAGGTTACGGAGGGATGGGCCGCCCTTTGTTTCCGTGGCGGGCGCCGGGAGCGCTAAGATTCACCACTGTTAGACATGGATCCCATCCTCTACTGCATGATTGAGAGTGTCGCTGACATTGCAAGATGGGACTGTTGAGATGTTGCAAGCTTGAAAGGCGATCTCTCGATGATCATCTTGTGGTTTCTCAGCCGTTAGGATGCGATACAGACATGGCACACGATTCAGGATCAGCGACCCAACTGTAATTTCATTGGCCAATCTGAAGTTCGGGTGAAGTCAAAAAGAACCCTCTGGTCCCTGATTCGCAACGTTCATCAGGCCCAGCTCCACGTTGCAACGGTCGTGCTGCGGGAGTGCTATACCCAGTAGTACAGTCTACGTACCAAGGCATGGTCCGCGATAGACTGGGCAAACTTGCCGACCATGCCACGGTGATGTATGACAAGTTCATTGTGTGACGTCGAATATGTAACTTCAACTCTCATCAAGGCCAAGCTGAACCGGCCTGACCTGTCTGCCTGTGTGATTGAAAGAAATCCTGAAATGCAATTGATCGACATGGAGCTTCAATTCGGTAATTGTTGACCTGAACCGCTCGTGTAATCATGACGCTCATTTCCATGTCGAGGTTGGATCGACAGTAGGAGGAGACGAAAACTTGGTTCGGAAATAACCCTACCCATGCTTGCCATGTTCTTGATAGAAGTCAAGGATTGTAGATGGTGCCTCTGAGGACTCAAAGATTGAAAGAAAGAAGCAGAAAGATCTCAGGGATCAAAATAGATATGGTAACTGACCGTATTCGTTACCCTGCCATGCCAAAAAAAGCTGGCTATCCTAAGTACTTGATAGCCTTGTGGCTTCGTTAAGCTCCTGGTGATAGACAGGGGATGTATCGATCATCACATTCCAAAAGCCGGTACAAGATCCAACGGCTCACAACAAGCAAGGTGCTAAGATTCAGTCAGCACTTTCTAAGCATCGGCTGGCGGATACGAAGGCCCCAAAGGCAACGAGAAATCAAGTGTCGGGGTTTAAGAGAAGCGACTTCGTACTTTGAAAAGAAAATACGAAGAAACACGCAGGGACGGCGTAGACGGGACAGGCGCAAGTCGCATCAAGACCCATGCGAGGTACATAGGTATCGGTACCTGGAAAACGGACGAGAGAGGCTTGGCAAAAAGACTCAGGTACAGGATACCTGATGTCGTCTGCCAACCCAGCCTAACCTCTCCAACGTGCTACGTACAGCAAATCAATTCGCAGCTACAGCACTGGGCCGGTTAAGGTAGTTTCGACACATTGCTTTGTCCAAGTCAAGCGCTCAAGCTTAAGGGGGCGGAAGAGGGAGGGAGCAAGCACTGTGGTCTCTCGAGACTCTCATGCGCCGGACGGTTGTGAGACATGACTGAACAGCTGCAATAGTCACCTAATAGCAAGGGGCGGGGGATTTTGGCGTGACAGCCTCGATCGCATGGCGGCGAACGAGATCTTCGGACAGGGCGAAACGATGTCCCCTGTGGCCTGTGTCGAACTAGCGTCCAATCCAATATCTGTTGATAGTCCTCGGGGGCAAGAAAACAGCGAACCTTACTGTGGGGTGTCAAAATAAACTTAGCAAAAGCCATCCTAAGCTTAGGCTATATCATCTAAGTATTTTTGTCATTTAGGATCGAGGTCCTGTGTTTTCTTTCCTCCCCTAGATAGTGCAGTACTGCACTCAATCGTGTGGCGGGTGTCGTGAACCACGAGACCAGATATCGCGATTCATCACGGCGGCGGGAGGAGAAAGAAGCCGAAGAGAACAAGCGACGAGAACGAGAGTTTCTGACATGTGCCGATGGCTGCTTGGTCTGTGGCTACCATTCAATGATGTCCCGCGAGGAGACGGAAAAGGCGTTTGACTCGATCTTGTCAATGGGAGGGAACTTTCCAAAGTTGAGCCAAGTTAATTTGTGGCTGCAACGGCGACGACAAGTGTGGCGAACAGTTGCGTTGTAGAAGATCACAGACGAAAGAGGAGCTGAGCACCGAGAAAGTGTCCCCGTGGCATACTGAATTATAGAGTAGGAGTGACGGCAAAGCCATCAACTCGTGGTAATACACACCCTCTCGTTACTGAGATTGGCCAATCTAAGGAAGCGGTCATTGCAGAAGGGCACGAACTTGACCTCATGCATTGGTCGAGGTGCCCTGAGATAAGATGAGATTCGACCTCTAATGTCCAAGCCAATGCCAACACCAATGCGAGGAGAGGACATACAGGGAGCTATACCGATGATCATCGACGGCTCCTAGCGGAGTGAAGATCCGGAGGGCCCATCTTTGCTCCATCTTCAGCTGTGATGATTGCCAAGTATTAAAGCTCGAATGGAGTTGTGTTCTTTGGTCAGTATCTTGTAATCCTTGACGTAGACACGAACAGCATACTGAGCCCGTGACACATAGACAACAGCGTCCATGCTGTTTGTTTCATGCAATTCCTTCAAGAGCGGCCAAAATAGCATCCGCTACGCCTTTCAGAGTTAATCTAGCGGCTGCTGAGTGTTAGTCGACAGCCAAGACCGCCCAGCCTCTGCTTGGAACACAAGTACCGACAGGGGCAGTGATGAGAAGAATTTAGAACATGATTGTAGGAATGCGAGAGCACAAGTCGGACCGCCTAAGCATTTGCCATGAATCAGTTGTCATCATCAGCTGCTGTGGTATCTGTAGATGCTTTAGAGAGATAAGTCCTAAGTTGGCTCCCTCTTGCCACGGATCGTAACTACCAGCACTCCCCGCCTTTTACATCATCTTCATACCATTGGCAATTCACTCTGGTGATGGTTTGCTTAGTGAGGTCCTGCCACATGAAAACAAAACAAACCTGATCAATCACCAATACCGTACGGAGCTTTCCTCGCTAGATCTTCTGCCCCTCTCAGTTTAGACGAGTCAGCTTGACCTCTCTTGTTCAATCGATGACCACCATCTGCTCAAAACACTTTGACTTGCATATAACTATACACGATTCATTTGATCCGGGCTATCCACTAGATCACGAGGACTTGGAGCGGATTGCTGCTTAACCATTGATGTGCATACTATACATAGGTATCTTATAGAACATTTATCTTATGTACCTCTTCACCTTTCCTCTCGCTTGCTCTATCCGAGTTCCCTTGCTCCAATTCGAGTTTCATCGAGTATTGCGGTGTTGACCGTCTGGTCTCGTCGGACTGCTTTTTGCTCTACCCGTTCAATTACGAGGCTGCCCCGCCGCCTAACTCCCAGCACTTAACCAACGCCGACAGCAGCAACTCAGCGGCCCCTCCAGCGGGTTGAGCGCCACCTCATCAGCAGCCCAAGTGTGCCCCTCGACGCCCTGGAAGTCCCCGCCAGCAAGTACTGGTACTGGGCATCGCTTATTGAGTGCCTACGACCACTAACAATTCTCGTACCGCTACCTCATGAGACCTTTTTCACCGTGATCCACTTCCATTTGCTCTAAAAGGCCCCGTTGAAAAGGGCTCCAGAGAGACGGGACCCTTGCCACGTCGACCAGGGGGTATCTGGGGGCTTTTGGTGTCCTTCTGATGCGCTAACGTCTAAAAAAAAAGGAGGTACGTACCTAGGTACACACTGAAGCCCTTAACTCCCGTTAGCACTTTCCATGTCGCAAGGGACCAGACCAAAAGCAAAGCACAATTCAGTGATTGTGGGCCCCTCCCGCCCTTCCCTGTCTGTCTCTGCTTCCGCCGAAGCCTGACGTCGATTTTCCCACTCAACCTGCAGCATCTCGTTGGCCGCAACTGGGAAGCTACGTCCCAGTCATTGGCTTGACCCATTGACCCATTCCTTCCCTTCCTTCCCTGTCCTGCCGGCCCCCGGTGCCCTGAAAAATTGGTCTTTCTTTCCAGCACCCATGATCCCCCCCCCGGAGTCCGCACACACCCAGCGCCTGCCGTTCCTTGCACTTACCTTAATTACCTAGCACCTGCTGCTTCCTCAATACTCTTTACCACCACACACGTTTCGCCACGCACCAAACACCTACGACAACCACGACCTCGCTCGCGTACTTGCATTCTTTTACATCCACATACATACACAATCACCGCTTATTTGGACTGTCACCGCAGTAGCTGTACTTGTCTTGCAATACTTTCGTACTTTCGTACTCACAACCTACGCGCCCTCTTTGATCCTACATCGTTTTGTTGCGGCCATCGAGCCCACCAGCGCAGCGAGTTGTTCGACACGACCCTGCAGCTCTCACTCGCTTCTCCTGATGACCAGCTTGGTACGAACGTTCTGACGACTCCACGATGCCCTCGCATACACGATATAATCTAGACGATTTCGACTGTACATCGGCGACGATATTGTTTGCTCATTATTAGCTCCAGCGTTTGGCGACGAATTAGGAACTATGGCCCTTTGGCCATTCCGGCGCCGGAGTAGCCGCAAGCGCTCCCGCAGCGGCACTGCTTTCTCAGATGCAGAGGGCGCGCCGCTGCCTCATAACGAGGGACCCAAACTTGGGTTGAAGAAACGACGTACCGAACCGCCCAGACTTCAGGGAGCCGGTCGAACCTATAGTTTCTCCCCGGGACGCCAGGACGACATCCGCACCGACCGACACCGCGCTGGCTCACCAGTCCGTGAACGAACAGGCCGAACAAGAACTACTGGCAACATTGAAGAACGTCCCGAACTCTGGGATCGCACACCCACGCTTCGTCCGACCCACCAAGCAACAAGAAAGCAGAGAAGTAAGAGGAGGAAAGAAGAACGCAACAGAGAAGCCGAGATTAAAGCAATGAGTAGTTTTGCTCCAGTTCGGCCTGCTACGGAACAATGGAATTCAGGCCGGCCTATGAAGAAAGATTCCAAAAGATCAAAAACCGGGGGATTTGGAAGGCACCGAGCTGGTCGCAATTCGGATGTTTCACTTCCAGTACCCGGATCAATACACTCCAGTCTTTCGTCTGACTCGGAGTTTGGCTCGTATAGAGTCTCTGCTCTTGCAGCTCTTGCACCCCGACCTACCCTTCGTTATACCCCGAACGCCCGATGGACGACTCCCCACGTGCCTACACCTCATCGGTCTGGATCACTAAGGAGGAAGCTTCTTGAGCAGGAGCCGATTCCGGAAGAGACGACGAGGTCGCACAGGCGCATCGATTCTCTTGCTGACGACCTCGATGCCCGCGATCTTAGGGAACTCATGGAAATAGATAATCGACGACGAGAACTGAAAAAGCAGAAGGAGAGGCAAAGGATGGAGCGAAGGATCACACAAAGGGCAGAGAAGCAACAAGCGGAACAAATACAGGCCAGGAACACAGGCACCCCTCCACCAGAGAATCTTGAGAGAGGTGTCATGGGCCGTGAACTTGTGGGGTTGGGGATCGACCCTGCTTCCGCTGTTGTCACTGAAACGAAGCCTGAAGATCCAGAGCCCATGGATATCACTGAAGACGAAAGGGAAATCGAGTGTCCCAAGAAGACCGAGGAGGTCTGTCATCGCACAGACACAGCCGCCTCCGAGCAACCAACACCTATGGAAGAAGTCATTACAAAGGATACCTCATCTATGCGTCAACCCTCTGAAGACATGGGAAGCGTTTCTCCTGGAACAAGATTTTCTGATCTTTTGAGATCGGCTAAGTCACGATCCAGGTCGACGATTCGATCTGATCGGGATAGGATGGTTTCTCCGCCGCCGGAGACCATCAACGAGGAGGATGTTCATATGCCCAGACATAACTCTCATGATTCTGATGGCAGCAAGAATGGGTTTGCTTCTATTAAGGCATTTCTGCGAATTGGAAGCAAACGACAACGACGTGAAGGACCATCGTCCTTTGCCAATACCTCTCGGGAGGAAATGCAGGCCGCCGCAGCTCAGTCAAGAGCACAGGCCCAAGCCTACGCCCTCGCTAAGCTCGAGGGCGAGGACTCGCCCAACTCTTCAAGCGGTAACTATCTATCCCGTAAACCAAGCATTGGCGCTCCGAAGAGGACGCGCTCTCGGTTCCGGGAGGACTTACCTGAATTACCTCTCTCACCGCCAGCTTCACGCGTTCAGTCGCCCGAAGCGGAGCCTCCCATGCCCATCCTCACTGAACAAAAGATCCGTGAAATGGAGGAATTGAGGTCCTTGGGTGTGCGCTATGACACACCAACATCAGGCCACCGATCTGCCGAGGCCATGCGCCGTACGTCGTCGACAGTAGAGCGCGCATATGTTTCACCATCCCCAGAAGCTGGCATGTCTATGTCACTCGCCTCGATTGACTCCGAAGGTTCCTGGCTTTCCGGTAATGCCAGTGGCCGTCGAGCTGCCATACGAGATAGCATTCGAAGGGCTAATCAGCGTGAGCAAAACGACGCCCACACAGATTCCCCAACAAACAGCACAGAAGAAAATTTGGAGATCGTTGAGGATGAATATTTAACGAAGCTCACTCCCCGAAGAAACTCGAATCCTGAGTTCATGGGTCGTCGTTCCGGCGAAGGACGTCCCAGCAGCGATGAGGAAGAGTTTGCTACTGATGGAGAGATGAAATGGGGCGCTGTTGGTTCTCAGCCCCAAGTTGTGCACAGATTCACCATGAAGAGCCACGAGGGACTCTTGGAGCTTGAATCCGAGGATGAAGAGAGCCCGACATCACCCGTGTCTCCATCGCAAGAGCTTGCCAATGTTCAGAGCGCTAGAAGCGTCAACCTGGGCAAAGGTCACGTTCGCAATTTTAGCGCTGGAAGTGCTAAACTACTCGATCTCACTCCCCGGCCATCCGTTGATGCCACAGGGAATTCAGAGAGGCGACGAAGTCACGTCCAACCAGCCATGTGAAAGCTAAATCAATCTTGATCGTTCAAAAGAAGTGTCTCGCAACTTAACGAATGTCGGCCAGACGACACCTTCCACTCCTTTTATTTCCTTGCCGTCTCAACTAACCTAAGTCACTCATTTCACATTTCCTTATCACTATTCTTATCAACAACTGAAAATCTACCCAATAAAAAAAGAGGAAAACAGCAAAATCAGCGAAGACTCTTCTTATGACGACTCAAGACTCTTGAAGTAGCTTATCACATGGATGGTACTAGGAACCGACTTGCTCCTGATGCATGACACGACCTTGATGACTACGGCGCATTCCAAGTTCACTACTAGGATTTCTTTTCTCGACTACATATACCGCATCTTTTGATACCCCGCGTCGACTGCCAATTACAGAGTACTGGGAGACTCGACGCGTTTGATTTACCAACTATTGGTGAGGGAGCTAGTCTCCTTGGCCGGTCCCTCTTCGTGCCCATTGGGCGCTGTCACTCCTTGGGAAGCCGGCGTAGTTTTCCTTATCTTGTCTGTGAGATGAGGGGAGCATTTTGTTTTCTTCTAGCCGGGGTTTATGGGAGACGGGAAAAACGGGTTTGATTTGAGCAACTGGGATTTGCTTTTGCACTTAGGCGTCCAGAAACATAAACTGGAAGCCTGAGATCGAGCTTGGCGCGAGAGTGGTTGATTGCATGAAACAATAGAACTTGCGATGCGATAGCGCAATGAAACACCAATGGGAAATGGGGGTGGGCAAGATCACAAGACGATGGACATGTGTCTGTCCACCTCATAGGAGGAAGATGTAAATGTTTGTAAGCTGATAGGTTAATTGACCAGATCGAACAATATCCTAAGATTAAGAGCTGTTTCACCATACGTCAAGTGACAGTTATATCAAGATTAGGTCTGATCCACAGCCCCAGGTGCATGAAATAAGTTATGTCCGTGGTCTCGGCAGTTGAAGCAGTAATTAATTACGAGATGATCGTGGTAGATCTCGGGAACTAGCTTAGCTGCTGCGAATGTGGAAATTATCATGCCATGCATATAGGACAATTAGGCGTGGCACATCTACAAGTGTGAGATGCTATGATTGTGGTTTGAATGTAAGAGAAGGCTGATAAGAAGTAATTTACTGAAGTCTGTGAAGTACTTAATATATAGATTCATTGATTTGTCTCATATATAACTCGATAAGAACATGGGCATCGTTGAACATGGCTCTTGAGAGCTCTTAGACTGAGGTAATTGTTCATGCTATGATGCCACTACGTCAATGGTCTGTACGCAATAAGCCTCGATCAACATATTATACATCGTCAAAGCGTGAAACCGACCCCAAAACATTATCATGAAACCTTTGTGTTTCTATCATGAAACGTCCAAGACCAGTCATGAACTTTGTGTCATCATAACATGATTGGCCAACCAGCCAAGTCATCATACTCCACCCAATGAAGAGCCATCAGAGCTAACAATTAGAAATCCAGACCTCTCATACTAATCCAAGTTTACAACTCATATAGTTAAACGACACGTTTTATAGGATTTATACAATGGTCTCTCCCTTCCGTATTATGCGACCTGTCGCCCAGGCTGCTCGATCTGGCGCTGTGGCTTTCGCTGCCCGGCCATTCCATAGCACGGCTGCTCGATTCGCTGTGCAGGATATCAAGACGTGAGTTTAGGAGCAACCATGAAGGTTCTGGGAATAGCTTTCACTAACTTGATCGGACAGAACGAAAGAGTTCAAGGACCTTGTCTCTACAACAGACAAGGCTGTTCTTATCGACTGCTTCGCTACATGGTGCGGTCCTTGCAAGGCCATCTCTCCCATCCTCAACAAGTAAGTGGCTCAGAAGATGCATTGCCATTGCAGATGGGCAATTAATAATAGAAACTTAGGCTCTCAGAAGAGAAGGCGCTTTCAGACAACATCCAATTCGTCAAGTTTGATGTCGATGAGCTCCCCGACCTGACCGCTGAGCTCGGCGTCCGCGCTATGCCAACCTTCTTTGTCTTCAAGAACGGAAGCAAGGTCGATGAGCTGGTCGGTGCTAACCCTCAGGCCCTTCAGTCGATGCTGGCCAAGCATGCTGCATAAATGGTGTAAATCTTGTAACATCTCATATCACTTAGTTGGACTGTCAAGGGAGGTCATGGCAATAGACTCAACCTGTTTACATTGCCGAAGAAAGTAAGAAACAGCTGTGTATTATTAGCATAGTTAGACTTGTACAATGGGTTACTGATGTCTGTCTGGTATCTTATCCATACATCATTCTGAAGAATCGGTTGAGCCTGTGAGTCTATATTGATCGGCAGTTACACCACACCTCTATGATTTCGGCTAGAAATGGTTCAAATGCCACAGGCTAGTTAGTGAAGTTCTCTCGCGGCCTTCTATTTCCAGTATGGACTGTCACGGAGGTGGAAGGCCGTCGTATGTATATGACCATTCGGCGAGAGTCATTTACGCCCAAGAAGCGTTTGACAGGCCGGCAATAACTGCCAAAACGAATCGATTGGCTGATCAATATGCAATTCAAGCGATTGTGACAGGCTTATCATGAACGTTGCTTCTTATGCTACTATCATGATAGAGCCGATCCCGGTTTCGGCGGCCCCGCGTTGATGAGCCAATCACAAGAGCCAATCACCCGGTTTAGAGATCGGGGCTTCAACTGGGAACCGATGAGACGGCGTATAAGTTGATGTGACAACCTCTGCTCTATAGTCTAGTCTTCTGTTCGATCGAGTACTTTTCCGTTTCGAGAAAATTCATAGCAGATACCCAATCATCAAGCAGAACGTGACATATCAAAATGGCGAACACAATTGTCGTCGTTGGGTGAGTCTTGGTGGGACAAGCTAACTATTCTGAACGGAGCTGATTCATAAAAGCGCTGGTGTTTCTGGCTTGACGTCCGCCTACCTTCTCTCCAAGAACAAGGGCAACAAGATCACTGTCGTGGGCAAGCATATGCCCGGTGACTATGATATTGAATATGCCTCGCCATTTGCTGGCGCCAACGTCTGCCCGTATGTGATCTGGCCCATTCTGTATCATCCTACTCACAGTTTCCAGCATGGCCACACGAGAAAGTAGCAGATGGGAACGTCGAACATGGGTAGAGTTCAAGAAGCTGTGCGAACAAGTCCCCGAAGCCGGCATTCACTTCCAAAGTGCGTCACCATATTTGCTCTCTAGAAAAAACAACAGGCTAATATCTAGCAGAGTGCCACATTCAAAGACGAAAGAAGGACACAGAAGCAGCAAAGAATCAAACATTCCCTGATGCACTCTTCATGGAGGAGCCCTGGTATAAGGAGATCTTTGAGGATTTCCGAGAACAGAACCCTGATGAAGTCACTCGCGGTTACGACTCAGGCTGCGAATTCACATCTGTCTGCATCAACACCGCTATTTACCTTCCCTGGCTTGTCGGTCAATGTCTGAAAAATGGCGTGGTCTTCAAGAGAGGTATCCTGACCGATATCAGCGAGGCCAAGAAACTGAGCCACACGGGCAACGTTCCCAACATCATCGTCAACGCGACAGGCCTAGGCTCCTTGAAGCTGGGCGGTGTCAAGGATGAGACCATGGCGCCTGCACGTGGACAGATCGTGCTGGTGCGCAACGAGAGCACACCCATGCTTATCACATCTGGAGTTGAGGACGGTGGTGCCGATGTCATGTACCTCATGCAGCGAGCAGCTGGTGGTGGCACAATCTTGGGTGGAACTTACGATATCGGCAACTGGGAGTCTCAACCAGACCCCAATATCGCCCAGCGTATCATGCAGCGCATCGTTGAGGCACGCCCTGAGGTTGCTGATGGCAAGGGCGTTAAGGGACTGAGTGTGATTCGACACGCTGTGGGACTGCGCCCTTGGAGACGAGATGGGCTTCGACTTGAGGAGGAAAAGTTGGACGAGGAGACATGGATCGTGCACAACTATGGCCACTCTGGCTGGGGATATCAGGGTTCATATGGTTGTGCTGAGGGTGTAGTTGAGATTGTGGACAAGGTTGGCAAGTCTGCCAAGTCCAAGCTGTAGATTGACTAAGCGTTTATCAATTGATATATGAATACCTACTTAATTCATTCATTTGTATGATTGCCCTCAGCTTAAGAAGGACTGATGTTGGTGAGTAGGTAGAGAATATGAGAATATGCATATCGCGGGGCCCCGCATTTCCCACACGTAGCTCTCTCCAAGCTCTTGAACCCCTGTTTCGACTTGATGAAGCTTTCCTTTCCTCTTTTCAAAAGCCAGCGCATTCTCCGTTTTCAAAATGCCAGAAGCTACATCTGGCACCCTGAGCCAGGGCTTGCGCTTCCTAAGAAACGTCCTCAATGGCCGCCATGCGCTCTCCAAGCTCATCCCCATCGCGCTCTGGCTGGTCGACGCGCTTGGTTGTGGCTTGATCATATGGAAGATCCCATGTGCGTGGCGTCTAATTGTCAAAGCCTCACGGTGAAGCTAATATTGTGTAACAGATACCGAGATCGACTGGGTTGCGTACATGCAGCAGATTTCGCAGTTTGTATCGGGCGAGAGAGACTATACCAAGATGGTGGGCGATACTGGTCCCTTGGTGTATCCAGCGGCGCATGTCTACACTTACACGGGACTTTACTATATCACGGACAAGGGCACGAATATTCTTCTGGCGCAGCAAATATTTGCTGTGCTGTATATGGCTACGTTGGCAGTGGTGATGCTCTGCTATTGGAAAGCCAAAGTCAGTAACACCCCGAAATAGTTGAGTTGGCTTGCTAACAATTCTAGGTACCTCCGTACATGTTCATCTTCTTAATCGCCTCTAAACGACTACATAGCCTCTTCGTCCTACGATGTTTCAACGACTGCTTCGCCGTTTTCTTCCTTTGGCTCACCATATTCCTTTTCCAACGCCGGCAATGGACCGTTGGAAGTCTAGTGTATTCTTGGGGTCTTGGGATCAAGATGTCGCTACTGCTAGTTCTTCCTTCTATTGGCGTCATCCTTTTCCTGGGTAGAGGGTTGTGGCCTAGCCTTCGTCTCGCATGGCTCATGGCACAGATTCAGTTCGCTATTGGAATTCCGTTTATCACCCAGAACCCTCGTGGGTATGCGGCTCGAGCCTTTGAGCTGTCACGGCAGTTTCAGTTCAAGTGGACAGTCAATTGGCGCATGTTGGGCGAGGAAGTTTTCCTCAGCAAATATTTTGCTATATCTCTTCTGGCCTGCCACGTTCTAGTGCTCTTGATCTTCATCTCCAAGAGATGGATCCAACCAACTGGACGATCGCTCTATGACCTGATTCCCTCATTCTTGCGACTCAAGTCCCCGTTTACCGTGCAGGAACAGCTCCGCATATCCCACTACGTCACTCCTGAGTACGTCATGACTACGATGCTCACCGCCAACCTCGTTGGTCTGCTGTTTGCTCGGTCACTGCACTACCAATTCTATGCCTATCTCGCCTGGGCAACTCCCTATCTCCTCTGGCGGGCCACCGAAGACCCCGTCATCGTGACAATTATCTGGGCCGCCCAGGAATGGGCTTGGAATGTGTATCCAAGCACCGACCTCAGCTCAACTATCGCTGTGAACACAATGCTGGCGACAGTTGTGTTGGTGTATCTGGGAACAGCCAGACTTGCCGTTCCTGCTCCCGCTGCCAGAGTCGGGAACGTTGATGATAAGAACAAATAGATCTGGATCTAGAAGTGCATTCTTTTTTCACTCATCTTCGGAGTCGCTGGGTGGCATTTTCCCGACATTGGATTCGTCCTCGGAGTCACTCATGTCGTATGTGTTTTTGACGAATTCTTTGGGCCTGCGATAGACTCGATTAGCCTAGTTCATTTCGGACGAATAGATACCACAAAACTCACCAATATGGCTGTTTGCGCCAGGCCTTCTCATCACGGACAACGTTGACGATTTCTCCCTCTGCTCGAGTTTCCTCCTTGCCGTCTTCGTATCGTTCAGCCAGAACAAAACCGCCACGCTTGATCCAAATGGTGTTTCGAAATCGCTGGGCCAGTTCCAGTACAAGGGATTTGCCGTTTGGAAGCTCACAGGTATACAGGTTGTTTCCTTCAGGCTTAACAACGCGGACAAGAGAATGGTTGGGCTCGAGAGAGTCGGGAGGTGTTAGTGCAGCCTCTGCGGCCGCCAGAACATTTCGCTTTGGACGTCCCATCGTGAAGTTCTATGTCGATTGCTATTTCATAAAAGCTTGTCTTGGAATTTTCTGGACATGAAGGATATGGAGGGGTTGCTTGGAGGGGCAGATACCGATAGAACGATATACCTTGATAGACAGAACAGACCCAAGTATTACTCTATCCATAATGGCTTCCAAGAGGCAGCGGACTTGCTTAATTCGGATTATCCGGCCCTACCTCGAGTAGCAAGAAAGCTCAAGGCGTTTAGGTGACAAAATAAATTTGGCTCACAGTCCTCATAAGTTCAGACTCAATTACTTGAATATTTTCGTCGCTTCGGGTCAAGATGATCCTAAGCCTGCCTCCCCTCGTTTGCTCCCAGCATGATCTCGTGAAATTACCATATCGGGCTATAAGTTGTACTCCCGCTCGTGCGGATATCGTGATTGTATTTTAAGTAGCACATTGCTTGGCTCCTAGTGGTGGGTTGCTGGGGTTGTTACTAAAAGGGGTATTAGAACCAACCTCATTATCATGAAGTTGAGTGGCCAGTGACATAACAGTCAATATGATGGATATGTTGTCAGTGCCTCATGATTGTGTACGTGGACTGCTTGAGAACTACGTATGTCGATGTCTCGTCTTCATGCAAAGGATACCTTTAATTACAACAAGAACACCTGGTATCGTGTACTCCCTGTAACACACCTGGGTAAATAATTCGGTGCAATTCACCATGAGTCCGTGCTTAATAAACCACGTCGTATGGTATTGTCGAAGTGGACTCGGCTTGATTACCCTCTTGGCCATCCCTCTTGGCATGCTAGGGTCCCAAAAACTGCCAAATAGAGGCATTCCACTCTCTAGGATGGCCCGTGGGGATATCAAGATCTGAGTGACCGGGTGACTCAAGTTGACCTTGCAGAGATTCATGATAATATGATACAGAACCGAGTAACTAAGACTACATACTTATAAGCATGGACAGGCTCAAGCACACTTATCCCTCGGAACTTACACAATGTGATCGAATCTTCTCCTGATCACGCATTACTATATATCGAGTCGCTAGTTCTTGGTGAGCTAGTGCTCATACACCATGGAGACTTCAATGCTTTCAGGTCTCTCAGTAGTTCAGCCAGTACCTACAAAGCCGGCAAAACAAGATATGTCGCGTCCATTAACAGCCCCGCCAATGACCACCTCGACAACCAATATCGGTTCAGCCCAGAGAGAATCTTTTGGCCTTGAGATACTGCCAGTCCGAGATGATCCAAAACCAGACAATGCATCTTCCGACCATATCGATGACTTAGAAATGAGTCATCCTGATCGCCCAGATTCAAATACAGAGACTGTTGAAGTTGCACCAACTATCTGGGACCCTTTCATGAACCGCTTCAGACTTCTCTCGACCTGTCTATCCCAGATAAACAATGCTCTTAGCGATGGTGCTACTGGTGCATTAATCCCCTATATGGAGAAGTATGTCGATAATCTTTCCCCTGAACGACATAAGCTAAATACTTTTAGGTACTATGGCATTGGATATGCCACCGTGTCTCTCATATTCGTCGGTAAAGCCATCGGATTCATTGCCGCCGCCGTATTCATCGATATACTTAGAGCAAAACTCGGTCGAGCCAGACTTCTTGGTCTCGGTCAAGCCCTTGTCACTCTGGCATACATCCCCATCATCTGCGGAGCCCCTTTCATCGTTGTTGTTCTATCCTTCTTCTTTATCGGCTTCAGCATCTCGATAAATGTGGCCATCGGGAACCTCTTCTGTGGTGGTCTCCAGAACGGAACGTTCATGCTGGGTGTACAGCACGGGACTTACGGAATAGGGGCAACCATCGGTCCTCTCGTTGCGACCGCGCTCGTTACAGCTGCAAACACCATGTGGAATAGATACTACATAATAACCTGTGTGCTCGGAGCTTTAACCGTCGCATTAGGAATGTGGTCGTTCTGGAGATACGAGCAGGAGTTGAGTCCTGCGGCACGCCAGAGAGAGACGGCTCAAGTTGGAGACTCCATGTCGAACAGCATCTTTCTTGCTATGAACCTGCGCATCGTATTCCTTGGTTCACTCTTCATCTTTGCCTACCAGGGAGCCGAGGTCTCTATTTCTGGCTGGGTCATTTCTTTTCTCATCAACGACCGCGATGGCGATCCTTCGTCAGTTGGTTATGCAACAGCAGGTTTCTGGGCTGGTATCACCATCGGTAGATTCCTCCTTTCCGCTCCTGCGCAGCGAATCGGAGAGAAACCGCTTGTGTATGGCCTCATCGTAGGAGCCGTCGCTTTTCAGCTTCTCGTCTGGCTCATTCCTAACATCGTGGGAAACACTATTGCCGTATCTGTTGTCGGTCTTCTCCTTGGTCCTATCTACCCATGTGCATCAGCTGTTTTCCTTCGAGGTATGACTAGGCGGGAGGCTCTGACTGGTATCGGCATGATTAATGCTTGCGATAGCGCAGGAGGAGCTATTGCACCCTTCGTTACAGGACTTTTGGCCCAGGCGTTTGGCACCTTTGTCCTTCATCCGATTGTGATTTTCTTGTTTGCTGTCATGTTGATGTGCTGGTATTTCATTCCAGCTGAGGAAAAGAGGACGGAGTGACAAGGCGGTATCAAAGACGGAGGGAATAGGAAATTCAAGAATGCATGAACAAGCGAAGTAACATCAAGGTCGAAATTATTATGTATAAATTCGATTCGATCCAGGCTAGCCAAGTCTATTCACAAATCTATAATGAATCTATGTGATCTCCGTAGATGGCTCGCACCTAGTCTATCCTTTATGTTTAAAATAGCCATGGATACCATTTCCTATTCTACCTTTTCATGTCATTAATTTATGCCAGATTAGATACGGCCACGAGCAGCATCCTTGACAGAGACGGTACCAGCCGCAATGTCCTTGACAGTCTGAGTGATGCTAGACCAGTCACGGAATGTGACGAAGGGAACGTTCTCGTTCTCACACCAGGTAACAAGGTCTATGCAGTGTCATTAATTAAGAACAGTACTGGATATTGATATCTTACTCACCCTTGTCGGCCTTGGCAAACAGCAGGTCGGTCTCCTTAGCGGCTGAGAGATCAGAAACACCGTCACCAGCATAGAACATGGTAGGCCGGTTAGGAAGCGAAGAGTACTTTCGGATTTCAATAGACTTGTCATGACCATGAATACTAGAAAAGTCAGCATTTTCTCACAATATCAACGAATGGCTCAGATTACCTGTCATCATGGAACTCAATTTGCCAGCCTCCCTCATCCTTAAGAGTCTTACCCTCTCGTGCCTTTACATCGTTGCTGACAATCTGAATATCCCAACCAGGACCCAGAAGAGTGTCCAGTAGAGCCCGAATGACAGGGGTCATGCCGCCACTGAGAATCACAATGGGGACATTGTTCTCTTGAGCCCAGTCGTAGAACTCCTTAAAGCCAGGGTCGAGCTTAATGTTCTTAAGGAGAATCTGGATGCACTCATCAAAAGGGGTCTTGACGCTGTCAAGCATCTCAACGAAGCTGTCGCGGAAATGCATGTTTCCATAAAGAACATCCTTGTTAAGCTGGCGACGGCGCTCAACACCAAAGCCAAGGTTATCGGTCATATAGTCATTAGAATCGGCGGTGGTGACTGTCCCATCAAAGTCGGTAAAGAAGATGAACTTGGGATCGTTCTTGAGAGCTGGGGTATCGGAGGAAGCCATGATGACGGCCTGTAGTGTACTATTGCGTATTTTTATGACTGAGTAAGATGCCTTTTGAAGTCTAGTCCGGTTTAATGAAAAGAGTGAGTGAATTGGGTATCTCTAGAACTGTAGTCTAAGGGTGACGATGTTGCTGAGAGAAGATATGACCGAGCAAGAAAATGGCGGGGGAGGGGCACAAGTTTTCATGAGAGACAAACAAATAATCGCGACAATAATGATCGACAGGAAATTAGAAACACCTGCTACAAACTGGCTGAGCTGATTGGAGGTTGATGCTGAAGGATCCTTACTAGTAAAATGAGTAGCAATATAAATCACGTACTGTACATAACAGAAAACACCGCATATTTCGTTATCAGCTCTTCCGCCTTGGCCAAGGTTCGACTGTCGTCATTGTCATGACTCTCAGGAACTGCAGGACATGAATAGTGCCCCTCCACACCCTCTTCTCACTGTAGTTGCGCTGGAATACAGCCCCCAAGGACCCTGAGTCGCACTCAATAGCGCTCCCGGTAAAGGACCCCGGCCAAGGTGAGCAGGGCGGTGACTCGATTCGGCCTTGCTCCGGCGGCAGAAAATACCCCGGCTACGGAGCCGGCTGTAGCTTTATCGGCTCGGCCCATGCGTTCATCTCATCATCTCAACAATTGTTGCCGAGCTACAAGTCCAACCGTCCACCCTCGACGTCGCCGCTGCAATACACGCTTCCTTTGGTCGCAATGCAGCCGTTTGCTCGTCCTGCGGTTCGGCTTGTCTGGAACCATGCGCGATTTGGGCTTGATCGATCCGCGAGGCCCGGGAGGTCTTGCTGGGGGACCACGATAGTGCAGAGCTCAACAATATGTGTGCGATGCAATTTTCAGGCCATTGGTCTCCGAACAAGACTCTATTCGACGGAGCGACCACCGAGAGATTCCGAGAAGAGTTCGAGGACGAATAAAGATGTTGAGGATGAGCTTGAATCTATACTCAAACCTCGGCCAAACGTTTTCAAAGAGCTGCAGCCGCCTGCCGATATACCCAAGTTGCAAGATGTCAAATCTGCCAATGCGACTACCGAAAGTGCTACCCCTAAAAACACAAAACCCGAGCCACCCAAGGCCGAGACAGATACAAAGCCTAGCGAAGAATCGCCTCAATCGCAAGCACCATCAGGTCTTCAAAACCTGCGACACCTTACCCTGAACCACATGAACGAATTGAAGGAGAGGTTCAGCGGTGCTATGGATAGACTGCAATCCCGAGCAATGAATGCTTCACAAACTCTCAACGACATTACCGGATACACAGACATCGAGACCATCAAGCATCAAAATGCCAAGCTAGAAGCAGACCTTGCAGCAGCCCATGAGCGGGTCCGCGAGGCTCGCCAGGAATACAAGACATCGAACGCCAGTCGTGCGACAACACAACGTGAGGTCACAACACTATTGGCGCGGAAGGATAGCTGGTCTCCTATCGATCTTGAGCGCTTTACCGAGTTATACCGAGCGGACCATACCTTGGAGGGCAAGGTCGCATCGTCCCAGGAGGCTCTAACAGAGGCTGAGATGGAAGAGCAACGCCTTAGCCAGCAGTTAAATGCCGGAATCCTAAAACGTTACCATGAAGAACAGATTTGGAGCGACCGTATCCGACGAGCGAGTACTTGGGGTACCTGGGGCCTGATGGGCATGAACTTCCTCTTGTTCGTTATCCTACAATTCGTGGCAGAGCCCTGGAAGAGAAGGAGACTGGTCAGGGGTGTTGTAGCTGAGGAGAAGGCTGTTCTCGAGGAGGTTCGTGGTGAGCTTGAGCAGGTCAAGCTGGCCATCGAGAACCAAAAGACCTTGTCGACGGCTGAAGGAACCTCAGAGGCCGAGGCCGAGGCAATTGCTGAAGCCGTGGCGTCAGAGAATGTGTTGCCGGGTGAGAGCCTCATGGTGGAGGAAACAAAATCCAGCCAGGAACCCATTGCCACATTTGAACCAGTGGCTGAAGCGGCTCTTTCAGAGCCTCTACCCACGAGGACATGGCAAGAAGCTCTTATGGACCCAGAATGGTGGAAGGCCAAATCACAAGATATCTACAGCGAGCGACGGATAGATCTTCGCATGCGAGACGTTTCATTATTGGTGCTGGAGGGCGCATTAGCAGGAGCTGTGTTTACAGGAAGTATTGCGCTGCTTTTGGTTCGAAGATCATGACAAGATGTAAAATAGATATGAAGCTTATCATTGTATACTACTATAATAAAACTGTACATTCTCGTCGAGAAAGAGCATTTAACCATTTCTCGTTATACATAGAGTTTCTCGGGTGATGTTGATTCACGATGCTTCACGCTGTTGGCGAGCCAATCGGATGTTGGTGTTTTGCATGACCGGTAGGGCTGGTAGCCAGAAAGGCAATGCCGAAGGAGATGGAGTGGGACTAATAAACCTTCGGAGCTTAATGAAGTTAATATTTGCAACATGTCATATTTGATATTCATATGCGTAAAATCAGAGAATGTTTGTTGAGTTGTTGATGTATCGTGACAAAATGAAGTTCGTCCGCCCAGAGCAAGTTCATCATGACACTTCAGCCTTTAACGGCCCCTAGACCCCTTGTCATTCCACCCTCAAGGGTGACCCTGACCATTAATTTGAGCTTGGATGACGGAAGTGCACATGAGGAATATGATTTGCCAGTCATTGAGATTAACGGCAACTAATTGTTAAGGGTCCTGACGTTACAGATATTGACCGCTTTCCGACATGCGGTTTTAATCGGAGGTGTTTTGATCTTTGATGGTGGGGCCCTAGGACTTGTAGGACTATGAAAGGTGACTTACACCAGACGCAGATGCTTTTCCAGTGTAACTGTACCTATCTTAGCTACACGGTGGGAATAAGGAAATGCACATATTAGAGTTTGTTATCCCCTGATTGCTGTTGACGGGATTGGAACTTTGTGGTATTACTTTATGTGATAAGAAAGGCTCACGAGTTTGCCGTTTCAGAGAATGGTTTCACAAGCATTAAACCAAGTTTCCCTATTCATGCGAAACTACCCGGTGATGGGTCCTGAAACGCAATTCGAGTAGGACACATGCTTATGAGTATGATATACAAAAGTGCCAAACAGACATTCCTTTCAAGTAACTGTAGAGACTCTCGGGTATGGTTGTCTCATCGCAGCTCAGCCTCTTTGTCCACGTTATCATATCATCACTCTAGTCCTACCGAGGTTACCTCTTGACAAAAGGATAAACTACCCAAGCAGATCATATCGTATCTTTCCCCGAAGGACTGAACAAACAAGGATCTGATGAATGATTCTGCTACAAACAGTGCACGTCGTCACCCACCATAAACCCAACTCAACTTATTAACCGGACGGAGAGCTACTCCTACGCCGCTGCAAATTGGAAGCTCCCCGCCAGCCAAACCCTGGATCTCCCCACCAAGAAGAGAGCGGCGGTGGTCTTAGCTTCTTAAGGTGGTCTTGGTCTCTGCCTGTGTCTACACCTATAGGTGTATCCGTTCCCTGAGGCCTTGCCTTGGGCATTCATTACCCAGCACTAGGGAAAAGGTATTGGGCTGTGCTTTGTCTTTCGACCCTCTCTTTTTTTCGTGTTTCTCCAAATTCTTTTTTTTTTTTGCGCTGGTCACCTCTTTGTGTCTCCTAAAAAGAGCCTACCTATATTTCTTGAATCTAACGATTTCTTTGGTCCTTTAGCTTACCGCCAAAGTCACCAGAGCTAGCTCAGTGTTACTGCGCTGTGCTCTGCCGTGCTCTGCTCGCGCATTGAATCCTTGGAAAACGCCCGATAAAAACCCCGCCAATTTTACCCCCTCCTCCACCGAGTGTCGATGCGATTCCCTGAGGTACCAACCAGCTCTGGGTACCTTAGGAACTTATTGGATCACTGACG